GTTTTGGCATGTACTTAGAGGAATGGCTCAAACACCATTTCGAGGCATTTTTTCTAATTCTCAAAAGAAATGTATTGATTGGAGTCAATCACGAGACATCAAAGGTTTTGAAAGTGGAGGAAGATCAAGATTGGAAGAAGAAGATCAAGATTGGAAGAAGAAGATCAAGATTTCTCTTTGAGACATAAAATCCCCAAAACAACATATTTGTATATACATTTTTTTCATACATAAGGGCATCATATTCATAGCATTACACATGTGTACAATTTTATAGATTTTTGGATTCAATTTCATAATGAAGGATATTGAACTCAAAGGACATTCGAGGTCGACTAAACTTCACGACGAAAGAGTCATCCATAACATAGCTCAACTCAACAGCGATGAGCTATTTTCAAACCAAGATCTTCAAGTCGAATTTCAACTTCACGATAAATGATATTAGACTAGAAGAAGACCCAAGATCACCTGCGATTTAGCTTAACTCAACAACGATGAGTTACTTCCCAGTCCAAATTTCGAGCTAAATTTCAACTTCACGATGAAGGACACATCATGATCAAGTCATCCGAGATTGAATCAATTTCAAAACGAATGAATCATCCATAATTTAGCTTAACTCAATAGCGAGGAGCTATTTTCAACCAAGGTCTTCAAGTTGAATTTTAACTTCACGACAAAGGATATTGGACTAAAAGAAGACTCAAAATCAATTGCGATTTAGCTTAACTCAACAACGTTGAGTTATTTCCCAGTCTATATTCCGAGCTAGATTTCAACTTCAAGGCGAAGGATATCATGCTTAAGTCATGCATGATCGAATCAACTTCACGATGAAGGAGTCAACCAAAATTTAGCTTAACTCATCAACGAGGAGCTATTTTTCATCCTAGATTTTGAGTTGGGTTTTAACTTCACGATAAAGGATATCAAGCTCGAGTAATCCTAGATCGGCTTAACTTCACGACGAATGAGTTATCCACAACATAGTTTAACTCAACAGCGATGAGCTATTTTCATCCAACTTAACTCGCAGAGGGTTTGCAAATATTTCTTGAGTCAAATTTTACTTCACGATGAATGATATTGGACTCAAAGATAACCAAAGTTTGACTTAACTTGCAATGAATGAGTCAATCTCAACTTCACTTCCTCAAGCAGAGGGACCAATAATCCAAATTAACTTTAACATTCACATACATACTAATAAATGATTATGTTGACTTTTGTAGATTCAACTACTTTGGGGTTGAGATGAGCTAGATAAAGATTTTCAAACACCCATGCACTTGAAAATGTAGAAGATGTAGACATGACCAAAGATTGAACTCCAAAAAAGGTCAGTCATCCTTGAAGATGCACAAAAGAAACAATCATGTCTCATTTAAGAAAATATATGATGGATCAAATCATTAACTTTTTCCATATTAATCTTTAAAAAGCAACGATGTAGCAAATCAACCATCAAAGTGGATCGAATAAATGGCGTTGAAATCAACTTTCCAAGTTCATGCAAATAGAAACTACCATAATCGTACAAAAACAATTATTTTTATCTTTGCCCTACTCTCGTTTCACGCCAGTGAGCAAAGAGGGGCAGTTATAATACCCAATTTTTTTTCCGGGCTCCAGACTTATCTAAATGCTAGAGAGCCCATTTACACTAACACAGGAGGAAATGAAAGTGACATCATATCAAAGAATATCTTGAGGGAACATTTCCACATCGAGTGTGATCTTTTCTAAAAGGAGATTAATATACTAATTGATTTGGGTAAATAAAAGTAGATATTTCCTTAGATGGAGGGATCTTTTATGATTTGGGAAAATCTTAGTAGTCGATGTAAATAATCTAGATCATTAGATGTTTGGAGGCTCATCTATAAATAGAGGAATTCTCTATCTCTTTAGAGTTACAAAAAAGAAAAAGAAAAAAAGAGAATGAGAGGAATAAAAAGAAGAGAAAAGAATCATTCATTGTAATTTGAAGAACAAGAGTAATAAAAGTGAGTTTTTGTTTAAAGTTAATTTCTTTTTATTCTTTTTTTTTCTTTGTTGCTTCGATGGACATCGATCTTGTTTTTTAAACTCTATCGAATGAGAGAAAACTGATGAACAAGGAAAAAACTCTTAAATAGATTTCTCTAAATATAACATTTCTTGAGGTTTCTCAATGAAAATCGATAATTTTCTTTTATATTTGATTTTTTTATTTTACTTTATTTTACTTTTTTGTCTATTGCTTCGATCTTGCTTATGTTTAAAAATCTCGTTCGAAGAGAGAATCAATGAATAAGGAAAAGACTTTTAAATAAATCATCATAGATTTAGCCTTCCTTGAGATTTCTAGATGAAAATCGATGATGGATCTTGAACTATGATTTTTTTTTATCTTTCATTTTATTTATTTATTTTGATCTAATTTTGAAATTTTTTAAGTTTAATATTTGATTAAATGATCTGATGACCCGATCCGAATCTCTATGGGATCCATATATTTTATGCGGGTAGGAGATAATTACAATTGTTATTCTTATTATTTATTTTTTTTTAAAATTATTTTATTCTCCATCGTGTATTTTCATTATTAATTTATTAGTTTTCTTAAATTTCATATTTAATTTTTCTTTTAAATTTGATTCTCGTTAAATACTCTTTAATATTATTATTTCTTTCTAACATGTTATTTTCTCATTAAATTTAATTCAACAATTTCATTTAATTTGATTTTTTACCCTATATTTTCTTAGATTTTCTTTCATTTTTTTACTTTTAATTCACTTGATGCAACTACTTAACCTTTTCTTTTCATTTTTTTATTTACTTTTAAATTTTTAGATATTCGTTCTTTTTATTTAATATAATAAGAATTTATTTTTTTAAATTAATGTTATTTTATTCATTTACTTTCAAATCATTGTATTTATTGTATGTGCCTTTTAAGTTTTGTACATTAATAATAATTCCATTTATTTTTATATATGTTTCTTTTAAATTGGTATTCGTAACCCTTTTATTTCGTGTTTGCTTATTAAACCTAAATTTTTCTTATTTTTTTAATTTTTTTCTTAAACCTTAATTTAGTCTGTTTCATGGTACCAAATCTCAAAGGTAAATAATTTGGATCTTTTATTTAAATTTTGGTTGTAACTTCAATTTTCACTATTAAGACAACTTGTAACCGTGTTGGTACCGAAAGGATAATTAAGGGGTGCTCATCCTTCCCCTTATATAATAGACTCCCAAACCCTTCCAAGTGAATCTCTGGTAAGATGTAGATCCGGTTAAAGGTAAAATTTAGGTATTCAACCTTACCTAATCCAAAAAGGTTGATGGCGACTCTAAAAAGGTAAAATTCACTTTTAAATCGAAATGTGATCCCAGGACCATCCGAAGGACTATTGCGACACAAACTTTATTCTCCAATAATGTATGGTGATATACATATTGACTTTTCGTGTTAGCGTCGATTTTAGAGTCATGATGGTTATCTATAGGTTGGTGGGAGATAGATAAGAGTGTCTGTCAATCTCAGGTAACATATTTGATTATGTCCGATTATTCAAACTTGTCAGTGGTTATGTCAAGAGATTATATAAAACTAGCTCGGAGATGTGAAATTCCAGAAGCTTTGATCAATGGAGAAATTTCTCCAGAAGCCTCAATTAGCAAAACATTGACAATGGAGATATGACTTTCGAAGAAGATATAAAAGGGGTACAATATGATTAAACCTTAAAGCATATGACTACTAGTCTTAAAGTCTAGAATCCAAGACCTTGGTTAATGCAAGTGGAGAGGGAGCCATTGATTCATCATAGTCTGGTCTTTTAGTAGATTTTAGCAGCAAAAGACAAGCTGAAATAAAGTTGACATTCTACCCTTCAATCCCTTTAGATTTGTTTCATTCAATCTCTCCTTGATGATCGCTAAACTCACAGACCAAAAGCAAGGAAAAAGCAACCAACCAAATATATGTGCAATGATTTTTTCCGATATTTTTATCTATTTTGCGATTTATGTTCAAAGTTACTGCAGTGGAAGAAAAATGACATGTATATCACATGTCAAGAAGAAAGAGTAGAAACGACTCACAGGGTTGTAAGATTTTGAGATTCAAATCTCAAACTGGCTTAATATGATGTTGTACAAGTAGTTGCATAAAATGTTAATCTAAATTTAGTAGATGTTTAGTTTAATCTTTAAAAAAAAAGAATACAAGTCTTGGATATGAAGATTTAAGTTATTGAATATTATGTTTTAAAAAACTTACTTTATTTTGATGATAAGGTGGGTGCACGGAGTTCCTTTATTACGGAATCAATCAACCCCTACAATTAAGGGCATGGGAAATAAGAAGATGCTTATGCTTTCATCACATGCATCTCCTTCTTCTCCATGATTGCAGTTCTATCTTTTTATTTTTTATTTTGGATAAATTATAAATTTTATCACCTAACTTTGATTATATTCCTGTTTTGATCATTAACCTTCAATCCATCCTTACCTGCTAAGTAATTTCATCATTTATATATTTGAAAACTTTTGTACCTCTAGAAAACACTGACAGTCAAAAGTATTAAAGGGGAAGAAGTAAAATAAGAAAAGTTAACATGGACAACAACCATTTAAGAGAGGTAAATGAAGGCCTAAAGATGATTAAGAGAGAGTAATGTCAAGTCAAAAGATGCAGTAACAGCTGTTACAAAGTAGATTTTCTTGTTGATCACAATGTTCAGCAACAATTGACTTCACCATTAGGAAAAAAATATACTTTTCTTCTCAATCTCAAAACTCCGCAATTACTTGATTGAAGGAAGCAAAAACTATATTTAATTCTGTTAGTATTATGTGTAAAGATTAAACAAAAGGGGAGAACGACATAGTCATCATCATTAAAAAAGCTGGACAATGAAAGTAAAATCCAATCATGCAATGCAAACATGCAAAAACAGTGTCCACTGAATAAAGAAGAATCTCAATCAAAGTCATCTTCCACATGATCCTTTTTTTTTGTATAAGAACCAAACCTCAGTTCTTTCAACTGTCACAAGAAGAAGGAAAAAATGAAGTTTTTGTCTTGTTATGGTCTCTTGCTATTGCTGTTATTGCTTTGTTTCCATGAAGGTCTTTCATGGAGCACACAGTTTAACCAAGCTGAGAACTATGAGGGTTCTTCAGACCTCGTTAGCCTACAATACCACATGGGACCAGTCCTTGCATCAGCTGTGAATTTGTACATCATCTGGTATGGTCAATGGAGTCCTACTCACCAAGGGACTATAAGGGACTTCATTGATTCCTTATCTTCTTCTTCTTCAGTTCCTTATCCTTCTGTTGCTGACTGGTGGCAAACTGTGAGGCTCTACACTGACCAGACAGGATCAAACATCACAGGTTCTATTTCCCTTTCAGGTGAGTTTTATGATACCGGATATTCTCATGGAATATTTCTGAGTCGTTTATCGATGCAATCCGTCATCAAAACTGCGGTCACTTCACGTTCGAGGCCGTTGCCTCTCGATCCTCACAAAGGCCTCTATTTGGTGCTGACTTCCGATGATGTTCGGGTCGAGGATTTCTGCAGGGCAGTATGTGGTTTTCATTACTTTACTTTCCCTATGGTTGTTGGTGTAACGGTTCCTTATGCCTGGGTTGGTTATAGTGGGAGTCAATGTCCGGGCATGTGTGCTTATCCATTTGCTTGGCCTAAGTACTCAGGGAAGCCGCCACCTAGTAATGACATAATGCGTTCGCCGAACGGGGATGCAGGGGTGGACGGAATGATCAGTGTTATCGCTCATGAGCTAGCGGAAGTGTCGAGTAATCCGCTGGTTAATGCATGGTATGCCGGAGATGATCCGACTGCACCAACTGAAATCGCGGACTTGTGTCTAGGTTTGTATGGCTCTGGTGGTGGAGGTGGATATGTGGGTAAAGTTTACAAGGACGCCTGGGGAAATGGCTATAATGTGAATGGAGTTGGAGGAAGAAGATTTTTGGTTCAATGGGTTTGGAATCCTGTGAAAGGAAGATGCTTTGGGCCCAATGCCATGGATTAGAAACTTGCCTCGTTGTTAAGTACTGTATATTTTGGAAATTTATGATCCTTTTGCTTGTTTAAAACTCGTAAGGATCATATAAAGATGTATGAAAATTAGTATCGGTTTTACTATTCATGTTCGAGATCCGAAACTGGAGAAATTACCCTCCCAATGATGATTTACAGCAATGTTTTTATAAATGAACAGAAACCTCTCGAAATGAAATCATCCAAAATCCTTCAAAAGCACCACTTTGTAAGAGCAGGTTGTATCCTGATTACTTTGGCTTTCACTGTTCTGGAAGCTAACATAAATATCAGCACAATGTGAACGTGTTATCACATACATGAAAAATGATGATTAACCATCTGCATAGCTCAGACTCGGCTGTGCAAGTCAAATACGGGTATGCATTCAACATGAGTGTGACATCCACGACTGTCGGACAAAGGTATTTAAAGAAAGATGGAGCCCGAACACCATAGATGATAGGTCCTATGCACTGATAATGGTGATGTGAGTAAACAGAGAGGATACTAGCATTCAAGCCAGGAGGAATAGACATGTTCCTATAAAGAACGAAATGAAAGCAATTTGCCACCACAGTTCTTTTTTACAACCAACAGAAAAAAGTGTACAATAAAACAAATTACCTCCACTAAACAAAAGGATAAAACTTTCCTAAGCCATAGTTGTGTTTAAAAAAAATAACATCGTTGTGTTTAAACAAAAGGAGAAAACCCTCCTAAGCCATGTCATATGAGCTGTACATCGGTTCTCATGATGTGACTTATGAGTTTGGTTTGCACGAGACGATCTTTCATTACCTGATGATCACGTTACAGCTTCTCCGAAAAGCATTGATTGCAACTAATTCCACAGCTTAAACCTTCACTGATTGTAGAAAGTACTTCCACAATAACATTTCAACATGCATTTTATTGTCATTACTCGTGCATATGAAGCAGTTGGTGGCTTCCGAAAGTCGACACATTCTCTTACCAAAAGTTCAAAATATGGCCTTTGCTTGATTTCAGGAGAATCCCGTTTCTGCAACAAAATATATATATGTACACTAATGCAAGACCTCCAGGGCCGCCTTTGTCATTTGGCGTTCAGATCCCTTAATTCAGAGTGCTGATGGATATCTCAACACCAACATGAGTCAAATCATTCATTTAATTATTATTGTAAATGAACTCGCTATTTGCAGCTCCATCACCATCTTTGTCTTCACAGATTTTTGAAGATGACTCATCTAGAGACAATCCAGGAGTCAAGTCATTCATCTGTTCAAGACCGTCGACAAATTCGCTCTTTGCAACTCCACCATCGTCATCTTTGCAGATTTTTTGAGATGTCTCGTGAGTAGGATGGTGGCTCATATCATCTCGATCTTGAGACAATCCAGGAGTCAAGTCTATCACCTGTCCAATACCGCAAAAAAATTCTCTCTTTGCAACTCCCCCATCATTGTCTTTGCAGGTTTTCTGAGATGACTCGGGAGTAGAATGGTGGCTCCCATCATCTCGATCTTGAAACAATCCGGGAGTCAAGTCATTCATCTGTTCAATACCATAAACAAATTCGCTCTTTGCAACTCCACCATCATTGTCTTTGCAGGTTTTTTGAGATGACTCGTGAATAGAATGGCGGCTCACATCATCTTGATCTTGAGACAATCCAGGAGTCAAGTCATTCATCTGTTCTATACAGTAAACAAATTCCCTCTTTGCAACTCCGTCTTTGCAGATTCTTTTAGATGACTCGTGAGTAGTATGGTGGCTCACATCATCTCGGTCTTGAGACAATCCAGGAGTCAAGTCATTCATCTGTTCAACATCGTGAACGAACTCGCTCTTCGCAGCTCCATCACCATCATTGTTTTTGCAGATTGTTTGAGATGACTCATGAGCAGAATGGTGGCTCATATCATCTTGATCTTCTTGAGACAATCCAGGAGTCAATTCATTCATCTGTTCGATACTGTGAATGAACTCGCTCTTTGCAACTCCATCATCATCATGGTCTTCACAGATTTTTGGAGACGGGTCATAGGTGGAATGGTGGCTCACATCATTTCGATATTGAGACAATCCATCCATTCCTGTATCTTTAGGGGTCATATCTTGCTCAACTTCAACATACATGTTCCTACAAGAAATAGAAGTCATACATGAGATGCAGTTACGTTTTGATGATTCTTTTCCACCATCTGCACTTCCTGAATCAAGAGACTTCTTCACACTAAATTGATCTGAATTTGAGCCACTTCCCTTGTCACTGTTGTTGCCTTCAACAGCAGTCTGGCACATTGCATTTGGCAATTTAACATTTTGCGATATATCCTTTTCATTAACATGGACAACAGAAACCCTAATAATTTCAGCATTTTTTTTAACAGAACATTCTGTTGAAGGTAATATTGAAAGTTGAGGAGCATCACCTGATATGCCCCTGTCAGATGACTCGTTCTCACAAAAGTCTGGCCTGATCAATTTTCTCCTTTTGCATTGTGCAGCTGTTGCAATCCTTTCATTCTGAGTTTCACAATGGTTCCCAGTCTTACCATCTCCAAGGTTCTTTCTCACTGCACTACGACGTTTGAAATCGACAAAAGTATTCTCTCCAGTTTTTTTGCAGCTATTCTCCTTGCTGAATGAGGTAGACTTCAGATTCATCTCCTTTGAGATCATAGGATGATCATCGTTCCTGGTGGTCTGTTTTTTATCTCTAAGGTTGGCAGCGGCAGCAGCATTGTGCTTGACTAACGGTTTACCACTTGTCTTCGCCCAATGCTTACGCCTTTGGTGCAGAATGCCCATGACTTCATCAATTGAAGTATGCTTATCATTGTCAGCAGTGATAGGACAGGTGTCACTTTCTTTTTTACGTATCTTAGGAGGCAAAGCCAAGCGAGAAAACACACTACTCCTTTTCTTCCTACAATCAGCATTCTGATACGGAGCAGTTCCCAATGAAGTAACTTCATGGTAGTCAACATTTATCGGTTCATGAACATGCAGCTGCTGCTGGCCCTCTTCGTACTCATATTCCGCCTTACTGAATATAGCCAATCTGCCATCCTTGATTGTGCTGTTATCAACAAAAGATCCACCATGGGGCTGGCACTCTTTAAACATAAAACCATCATAACCAAATTGTGCATCATTTTCACTCTCTTGCACTTGAAAATCATGTCTGTCTTGTAATAATGTAGGATACCTGTCACTCTCTTGCCGTTGAAAATCGTGTCTGTCTTGTAATGATGTAAGATACCTGTCACTCTCTTGCACTTGAAGATCATGTCTGTCTTGTATCAATGTAGGATACCTGTCACTCTCTTGCAGTTGAAAATCATGTCTGTCTTGTAATAATGTCTGATACCTGTCACGCTTGCACACTTGAAAATCATGCCTATCTTGTAATAACATAGGATGCCTGTCAGAAAATGTAAGAGAAGGGAACTTGCTAGATCTGGCTCTATAAGGTGATGAATGCTCACCGATCCTGCCATTGTTTCTAATTTCAGGAGGAACAGGTGATAAAGAGGGATTTGGAAGGGAACGATCTCCACAGCTTTCTATTTTAGAGTATTCAGCTGCTAGGTCATCTAAATAGTCAGCCCTTTGCAGGATAGTCCTGCTGGAGTGTTCATATGAATTAGAATAAGGCAATGTAACAAAGTCCCTAGAACCAGAGTTGACATCAGAGGTTATGGGAGTCCTTATAGTCTCTAACAATGGAGGAAATGATTGATTTTTGGAAGTACCAATGGCATGACCAACAAAACTATCACAGCTAGCATCTTGGAATGAAGCACAGCCCTGATTAAACCCCAAAGATGAGGAGCCCCTATAATTCGTAGTAGGGACATTGGGATCATAAGGAATACTATTTGCAACATTTTGATATTCAAAATTAATCGGATAACTAACATTGGAATTTTGCATCTCCATTGAGGAAAGGAACATTGGAGACGGCCTAGTTGGATCATTCACAAATGAATCTGTTTCTAGAACATGTTTGCTAGAATACACCAGTGGATTAACTTTAGATTGAAAAGAACTAGGATGTGCTGTTGAGATGGTTGGTGCAAAACCATCACCCTTGTAACATTTTATTTCAATTCTATCACTCTCTGCAAACCTAACATCATTGGAAATGCTTCTGAAATTACCTGAAGAATACCCAATTGAAACTTCTTGTTGAAGGTCAATTCCAGTTTTCCATTCAGTGTCCACCCTGTCACTTGTGGTATGTTCATTACACATAAGATCCTGAAAACACTCATTTAAGAAGGCACTAGCTTTATGCTTATACCCTGTGCATGTTCCAAATCTGCCATCATCAGTTGATCTGTCATCATTATAGAAAGAGTCCCCTCGGTGAATAGTGGAAATATCTGGTTCATGATGGTTGTCCACACCATATTCACTTGGTACTTGGCTTCTATTATCAACTAATTTTCCATGGTTTCTCAATGTAGACTTATCTAGTCTTTTATTTTCACTTGTAGAGTACCCACTTTTCCTTGCAACTTTACTTTCGATCAACCACCATGGAGGTGCCTTATTTTCCATCCTCTTCAAACTGAACAATGATAGAAGCCTTCGAACCTGCACATTTTAAATAAAGAGATATTATAACATTTTTTAAAGGTGCCATTTCAATTTATCAAATTGGATTTTGATAGCAAAAAGGAAAACCTGATCTTCAGAGAGTCCAAAGTTAAACTTAGTTTTGGAAAAATAGTTTTCTCTGATAGCATCATGAAATTCATTTTCAGAAAGAGGATGGCAGTACCACATAAGGGTGAATTTGACCTGGATAAAAATCAATAAGGATTAACATCTCCCCGAACATATCCTTCTCCATCCTTCTTTGAGGGATAAAAAACCATAAAAATCAATAGAAATAAATGTACCCATACCTGTGCAGGGAATTGCTTCCCCGAAAAACTGAATCCACCAGGCAGAATATTCATTGCACCATCAGAGCATGCTTGAAAAACACCATGTAGTTCTCTCCTCTCAAATTCAAACAGGAATAGAAATCATCCCATATTTAACCTGTTTCACAAAGTGTGACTGCGAAGATGGGAGGGCAAAAACTTTCCTTCTTAAGCATTCCTCTCTTGTAGCGTGGTTTGACATTAAAATTGCACCAAACTCGGGACAACTTCCAGGAAAACCATTTTTCTTTGCATCACCCATTTTGCTCACAAGGACGGGCTGCCAGTCAATGATAATAACGACAATAACAGCAACCAAATAAAGGTTTATATGTCTAACGTTAACTAGTTATAGAGACTAAATCAAAAACAGAATCATTGCTTTGATGAAACTGAACCAACATATTGTAGCCAAGTTCTTTTAAGTTACAAAGCATCTTCAACCAACAACATACCCCTTCCCCTCACTCCCCCCCCCTCTTTTCAAATATAAGTCGCAAATATCTCAATCAACTTAAATACAATATTTTCATCCAATCACCAGCAAGCTATAATCATCTCATTGACCAATTCAGAGACTTAAACAGCAATACAGTTGAATTTCTCAGATTATTACAAGCAAACACTTAAATGGATGAATAATCAGAATAATGCTAAATAAGTACTACTAATTACCAAAGCCAACACACTAAAATCCAAAAAGAGCAAAGTCACAATTACTTCAACAATCAAAACCTACTAATCTTCGTGTTTAATCTAAGCAATTTAAAGACTAAATATTCAAGTAAAAATAAATCGGAAAACTACTGCACGCACCATAACAATACCTAAATCAGCAAACCTATCAAATTATTATTATTATTTTCCAGAGAACAACGATCAGCAAAAAAATAAACTCAGCAATGAGAAAATCATCATGCAAAAATAAAATCAATACCAATAAGAGATAAAAGCAGGAAAGCGAAGATTAGCAGAATCTCAAAACCGAAAACGGAAAACCCACGCCGAGTTCATGCTATCGTTTTCAATCGATAATTAACCCTTGGAAAATAAATTTTCATTAAATATTTGCAGAATAAAAAAAAAGGAAGTTACCTAAACGGAGAAAAGAGGTGCTTTGTAGACTCGACAAGGGCCGTAACAAAGGCTATGTTTCGAATTCCAAATGGAAGTTTTGAAAAACAAACACGTCGCTTTGGTTTTGGAGAGAGAGATGAAAATAAAATCCGTGTGCCTGCAAGCGTCTCTGCCATGGTACTTATAGGCGTGCTTGGGGTTGTAGCGGTTTTTCTTGGGTAGTATTCTTTAATAGTCCTTTACTGTATTTAATTTATGGATTTAGTCCATGTATTTAAATTTGGTCAATTTCAGTCCCTTTCTTTTTCAATTTTAAATATATGATCGAAGTACAATGACTTATAATTGAATTAGAGAGAGAAAAAAAAGGTTAAATCTACAATTTATGTATAGCACATAGATTTTTTCTTTGCTAGAGTGTGATAAATGGGAGGTTTCTTATTATTTCTTGAATTTGAAGCAGAACGCATGTTAAAGATATAATGATTTTTTCTTTGCTAGAGTGATAAATGGGAGATGAGTGTCGCAGTGCATAATCATTGTATTTTTTATGGTCATCCTCAATTTAGAGATCATTTGTTCTTTTCTTGTGCCTTCTCGAGGATTGTTTGGGAGTGTATTTTAAGATTATAATTAATTTGATCATCAAACCAAATATAAGAATTGATTTTTCTTTAAAATTAAAATACGAGTTAATTGTTAAATATAAAAATGAACAAAATTTGATTCCATTCAAGGAATTAATTTTTTATTCGATATTTAAAGAATAACAACTATTTTTAATCAGAACCTCGCCTCTCTGTAATCTTAACCTTCTTCCCCAAGAAATCTTTATAGCCTACTTGGAACAAATAAATATATAAAAGGGATCCCCGTCTTTTGCCTTCTTCACTTTCAGAAACACCCCAAAGTAATTCTTTTTTCTCATCATAATCTTCATTGTCATCACCTTTTTATTTTAATTTCTCTTTTTCTTTTTATTCATTGTTCAGGATTTTGGATTTTTCGTAGCCATGGGTGACAGTCAATATTCTTTTTCCCTCACAACTTTCAGGTAACCCCTTCGTCCTTTTCATAACTACATTCATGAACTGTTTCAAAATTAAATTTTGAGTAAACCCATCTTTTTTTTTTTTGTGTTTTTGAATAGTCCTTCGGGGAAGCTAGTTCAGATCGAGCACGCCCTGACGGCGGTGGGTTCGGGTCAAACATCTCTTGGAATCAAAGGTACTTTTTTCCCGTTTCCCATTTCTAAGTGATTGGTTTAGGGTTTTGAAACTAGTGGAATAGTGGCTAGTGAGTTATATTCTTATTCGTATAAATCAATACGTCGGGTTTAATTTGATGATGAGTTTTGATCTGCAGCTGCTAATGGAGTCGTAATCGCTACAGAGAAGAAATTGCCTTCAATCTTAGTTGATGAAACCTCTGTGAGTATCTGTTTTTGATGCTTTTGGATTTTTAGATTTCATTTTTGCAGTTATAATCTGTTACTGTTTAAGAATATATGAAATGGTAACTTTGCATGTAAATTGAAGAACGAAAATGAATGGCAATGATGTTGCCATCAACTATGGTGTGATGCGATCTCGGAACCAAATCGAATCTGCCTTAGAACGAACTGACAGCTAATTATGCTTCATGTTTTCTTCCTGGGATAAGAAATGTGGTTTTTTTTAATAAATATTTGGTGTTTTGATTTCAGGTTCAGAAAATACAGTTCCTGACACCAAATATTGGAGTTGTTTACAGGTTTGATTTTCATGTCCACGAGCATTAGAAAGCTAATTTCTTTAGTTCTTTTGATAAGAGTAAATATAGAATCATATTCATGGGTTGCTGATATAACTTATATGTTTTATGTGTCTTTAACTTTTAATCCAGTTCTTTTCTGTAATATGACTTCTCTATTTTTTTATACATATACGCTTTTTTTCCCTTTTATTTTCATACTGTTCTGCAGTGGTATGGGTCCTGATTTTCGAGTTTTGGTTCGGAAAAGTAGGAAGCAAGCTGAACAATATCATAGGTTGTATAAGGTATGGTAGGCTTTTCAGTGATGGTTGTTTTTACTTAATGAGCTACTTTGCCTTGCATCTGGGAAAAGTTATTATCATATCACGTTGTGGTTGTATTGCAGCCATGATCCGTTGGTCAAAGTTAATCTTTTCTGTATATTTATCTTTATAAATTTTGTTCAATAACTTTTTCTTACTACTTCCAACATAAAAAATTATGTGGTCTTCTACCTCGCATGATTTTCATAATTGCATGAACTTTTTTTCCAGGAACCAATTCCAGTAACACAACTTGTAAGGGAAACTGCAGCTGTTATGCAGGAGTTCACTCAGTCTGGGTAAGAATTATATCCTTATGCAAATAAAAAAGAACTATTATTCACACCTTTTTACTTCTACTTTCAGAATTGTATCGAAGAGTTTAAGTTGCTTGGTAGTCTATTTTCAGTTTCAGGCTGTGCTTTTCTTCATGATAGCTGGTGGCCAAAAAGAATGTGACTTCATTAGTATATATATATCTTAAAATGTTTTTCCTGTGAAATAAAGTTTCTTCGAATTTAATTTTGGCCTTAAGATTCCGCCTCATGTGGGGGCCGAAAGTGGAATATTTGAATGGACTTCTCTTTTCCTTTTTTTTTTTTTTTTTTTGAGAAAATTGCATGCTGTAGATTGTACTTTTTCACATACCTTACCACTACATTTTGGGTCGACTTGAATTTAGATCAGAAATTGGAAATTGAAACACTTGCAATCCTCTGGACTCATATTACTTTTCATTTGTAGTGGCGTAAGGCCTTTTGGTGTATCTCTACTGGTTGCTGGATATGATGACAATGGTCCACAATTGTATCAGGTATTTCTCGTAGCTAATATTGGATTGTACGAGGGAGCGCTGCAGCGCATAGAATGTTTTATTTGCTTTCAGCTGTATGATACTATAACAATTTACTAGGTGGATCCTTCTGGTTCATATTTCTCATGGAAAGCCTCAGCAATGGGGAAGAACGTCTCCAATGCAAAAACATTTCTTGAGAAGAGGTACCCTACCATTAAATCTAGTTTGTAAAGCATTCAAAACCAAATCGATTGTAAGTTTCCTCGCATATGTTCTATTCATTCTGGTATATGAAGAGATTTGTAGTATATCCAATTCTAGTAGTCTTAACTTTTCTTGTTACCTTCATATAGATGGTATAAGCTATGATGGCAAATAGCTATGCTTCATTTCCAGAATTGAGCTGGACTTTCTTTTACTTTACATTTCCTTGTTGAAACATTGCAAACTCAATTGATTGGTTTTTTCATTTTTGTAGATACACTGATGATATGGAGCTAGATGATGCCGTTCATACTGCTATCTTGACTCTCAAAGAGGGGTAAGTCGAGTTAAATTTCCTCCACCTGGTTATCTGCAAAATTTAGAACCTCGGGAAAAATGTTGGTCCATGTTGGTTTGTAGCGCTGTGCATCTTTACTAATCTTACTTGCCACTTCTCAACTTTGCAGATTTGAAGGACAAATCTCAGGGAAAAACATTGAAATCGGGATTATTGGAATTGACAAAAAGTTCAGGCAAGTCCCTGCTTCAAGCCTTCAACTCTTTCCTCCTTCCTATGTATTTTACCGGCATTATGCTGATGGGAAAATAATCTTTTAGCTTTAAGAAGTGCCGTAAGTGATCCTTTTGGATTTAATGTGCTTTTTTTTTTTATCTTGCAGGGTACTTACGCCTGCTGAAATTGATGATTATTTGGCCGAAGTCGAGTAACTTGTCTTACTATTTGAGACTATCTACAAGTGTTTATTTTATGTAACATTTGTTTCGAGACTCCCAATTCGGTCAAATGTTGTTAGTTCATCACTGGAATTGAAAACAAAGAACTTTGCCAATGTCCGCTTGATGCCGGAACTGAAATTGGATGAGTTATAAACTTCGGGTTTAGTTTAATTGATTTATACAATCACTTTTGATAGCTTTTCTTTTTGATTATCATCTATTTCCTCCAAGTTGTATAAGAAGGAAAGCCATCTAAGAGAATGAAACAATGTCAAATAATCAGGAAAAACAAAAAAATATAATACATCATCAATGGTGTCTAAAATAAAGAAGTCAAATCCATAACGGTGATACGTTGACACAACAAACAATAATAAACAAACAATACCCTTTTCTAGGCTGGTTACCGGGAACACCGTCCACCACGTTTACCTTCAACTAAGAATCTATTAACCCAGTTTCAGATGGATAACAAAGAGTTCTTCAAGTGATGTACTTACAGAGAGATTGAAACGTTTTGGTTTTTACATTGACAAACTAGGCAAATTGAGGACCTTTAATCACCCAAAAAGAAAAAAACTATTCAGGAAACGAGGCAAATAATAATGTGCTTTATAGTTGAATCTATCAGTTTTGAATTGTCTTCAAGACTTAAATCTTCTTCATGTAGGTGGTTCTTTAAGAGGACAAGGATGGAAATATGGTTCTGGTTTTGTCGATGGAGTTTTCCCTGTTTTGAACCCATTGCTCAGCAGATTCTGGATTTTATCCAGGAGGAGGTCGATGCCGACAGGGTTTGGGGTTCACTCGATGATCTTCCTCCCACTCATGCGACTTGGGATGATCTTGTCAATGTAGCTGTTCAACTTCGTTTAAACAAAAACTGGGATCCAGTTGAGCTGATTTGAACAAAATTAGATGTAGTAAAATAAATAACTGATTCATGCATGGATTTACGTGTGGATGATATTATATAAGTCGATGTCATATATTTTATTATATAATTGACCATCGAGATGTTGATGGCAGCTCATAACTCGGAAAGTTGCAGAAAGTTCCATGGCATTTGCAGTAAATAAAAAAGAAGTCCAGTTACAGAATAACATATACATCACAAGCTTTTTTCTTCGATCAATTGAGAGGATGCGTAGAAGTCAGTTCAATTAGTTATTGAGTAGTCGAGAATAAACCCGGGTAATTTCGGAGACTCGTCGCATTTTTACAAGACAGTGGCGAAGCTTGACAGTTCGTGGCCATGGCCTTGGAGGTGCTTTAGTAGTACTCAATGCCTAAGACACCACAATTTACTTCCTCCGATCTCTTCATCAGCGTCATCTCCTTTCGCTGCACCAAGAGTTGGTAGCATACGTTTCAAAGAGAAGCTCAATGAATTGAGAGTAAAGGCACTAAGAATGCTCATCAAGCAAGATATAGTCCTGAAATCACCCGAATTTATTCTCGGATCTCAACACCGTTTTCAACAAATTCACAGCTATCACAGGAAGACAAATGGATTTACAGGCGCATCATACAATTGAAGCTTGATGTGTTCCATTCCCCCTATTTAGGGCGTCATCCTGATAATACTGAGTGTCATAACTTGATATAACTTCATCTGTTAGATGGATACATTAGACAGACATCAAAGTTCAGCTGGAACCAATAAGAGATGTTGCCTTGCTGAACAAGTCAACTAATATGTTGATAAAGAAGTTGAAAATCCCAAGTGTGTTGGTATGAAATGACATGAGGGACTTGTGCTGAACCGACATTGAAGCTTGATGTGCTCCATTTCTCCATATATCATTAAGTCCACTCAACATCAGCCTCCATTTTAGATAAAATTTTATTGTTTTTTCCTCTGTCGATAAGATTCATAGAGCAATATACTTTGTTGGCTTGGTTTTTAATTAAATGAATTGTTGAATTCAACATCTCCTGTTGGCATCCTATGAATTGTTGAATTAGCTATTGACGAATTAGTTTCCATAAGCTCAGTGCTATATTATTTTATTATTCTTCAAGAAGATAACATACAGTTTTTGCAAGCAAGGAAAGTAAGAACTTTAAAGGCAAAGGGCTTCGCTACCAAGTGTTCAAATTACATGAATATTCACAATACGTATACAATTCAAGCTAATAACCTACTAATCAGAAGTTATCACAGAACAATATCATGCACTAGAAGGTTTGTTACACTTGAACCCCCTAGAGCTCACTTAACTGCACAAAAATGGGTAGAAAGCAACGTAAAATACAAGGCAGAGGAAGGTGAGGCACATAAAATTGTTCTAACGAACACCGAGAATTGTCGTTTGTCATCTGAAGTTGCAGCAGTGTGCCTTACCTCTCGAAAGCTTGTCCCGAAGACAAATCATCTGCCTCGGGGACTGGTAATGTGCAGTATAATAGTCTACCAAACATTCATATTGACAAAACTTCCAGCTGTGGGAGTACTGGACGGTTGTGGTCTGGTTAAATTGTTCGACCCACATTCCGATACTTACATCCTCCATCTTGAAAAGCTGAGGGTAAAAAATAATGGGGTTGATCAAACTGAAGCAGTAGATTGAAGACAGCACTTAATAATTTATAAATTTATAACTAACCCTTAATTTTCGATCAGTATGTTGTGAAACAATAAACTGGGCGATACCACTGGAAATAACGTATCCAGGTCCATTGGCATCGGGAGGATAAACTTCTTCGGGCCATTCCTGTTACATCAGACGATAATCCATTAAGGAATGCTCTGTATTTAATTTAACTCTTGAAGGAACATATACAAATTACGAGCCAGAGGGTGTAATTACTTTTTAATTTCTAAGAATACTTCTAATACACCAAAGTTGATAGTAGAGAGTAAAGACATACCTCATAAGTGACGGCCCACTTTCCATTTCTCAAAGGACGGTGCAGAAGGTTGAGATTGCCCATATAAAGTGACCTTTTAGGAGAGATGCCATCAATTTGTTTCAAGACAGTATCGAGTCTAACAAATGTGTCATCATCACATTTCTTGATGTAAGCAGCTGACACATTTTGCACCTGAAACGATAAAATTTGGAAATTTAGAATCACCATTGAAAGAAATTCAACCCAGAGAAACACATAAATCCATATTCATGGACCACAAGCACTTAAATACATAATAATGAATTGCAGAAAATATGAACAGACGGCCTTTCAGAGAAAGGAAATGGAAGACAGTAATACCATGAACTCACCCCAAAATCACAAATTGCAATAGTTTTAAGAACCACGAGCTCATAGCGGTCCATAAATGGCAAAATTACAATATCACCAAAATAAGCTGCCTCCTTCTTTAGCACTGCATTCACCTCCTTCCTTGGATTCTGCAATTTATTACACAAATAAGTAGAGACACAGAGTAATACAAGCAATTTGAACATTAATGCCTGGAGAAGAATGTCTTGAAAAGGACAATTACTTAAGAACCAGAAAGTATAGAATAGATAAAAGCCACACTGGCCAGGGCAACAGACATTCCAAGCCTTTTTTCCAAACATCACATTGTTATTTGTGAAACAAACTGAACTTAGGATGCATAACAGTCGAGTATTAACAAGATTTTAAAATCTAGAAAGTTCAATGACCTTACCAATGCAACAAAGAATCGGACTACTACGTTTAAAGACTTGATGACCGAAGACTGCATCCAAGTTTTCCTAATTGCCATGCGTTCTGCGAAGTGATTGGTAGCAGAGAGAATCCCAATAAAAAGTTGAATAGGTCTTTATGTCAAGGGAGATGCTTTCCATTTTGGTGACATTTCCAACACTGTGGGGAGAAACTTGGATGAGAGGTGGGAAGAGAGGTTGCATGAACTGAATGAACATCCGCATCTCCTTTTATGGCCAGCCCTGTTGCATCTTCAAGTGAAAACCCCTGAAAAAATAGTTTTTATGTGATCTTAGTGTGAGATTTCCATGGCTACAAACCATGAAAGATGCATTGATATAGATGTTGGAAAGCAGAAACATCACTTTTTAATTGAAGTTGTTGGGGAAAACGGGTTATTTCTCACACGAACGTAGTTTTAAAATTGACCTAAAATGTCAAGATTAAAACCACCAAAGGTTGCACAGCGGATAAACCTGTCAAACTATTGAATATTGAAACACAATGGAAAAAAACCGAATAAAAATAATAAAGGAGAGAACACACCAAATTTACGATGTTCGACGAAAATATCGTCTACTCCTCGGGCACCACACCAGATGATAACTTCACTATATTGCCAATATTACAATAAATGGAATTCTTTAGAATTCCCAAAGTGGAAGAATGAAGAATACAAGAGGAAGAGAAAACTTGTTTTTGGGATGATTTCTAATGGAAATACTTAGGCCTATTTATAGTTGAATTTTGAGAACAATATGTTCAAAGTTTGGCCACCTACCAAAGAATTTTTCAAAGTGTACAAACCAAATATGAAATTCACATGTTCAAAGTTTGGCCACCAACCAAGATGAAATTTCTAATAAGTTGGCCACCAACCAAGATAAAATTTCCAACTTGCCAACTTAATTTCAAGCCAAATCTAACAAATCTCCACATTGGCTTGAAATTACCAAGCCTACTCAACTTCTTCATCTCCCCAAATTTGTAGTGCCTCTAATTGCGCTCACAAGCGCCACACACCCGAAGGTGTTCATACTTTCAGGATGTTAATCAAGTTCAAACAATGATTGAACTTGATTACTGTTACCACCTTGGTCATCATATCTGCAGGATTTTCTGAAGTGGAATCTTTCCTTCTTCAAAGATCTCCCGCACAAAGTGATACCTCACGTCGATATGCTTAATCCTTGAATGGTAAACTTGATTTTTCGCAAAGTGAATAGCGCTCTGACTGTCACAATAGAGACTAATGTGACTTTGAACAACTCCCAAGTCTTCCATCAACCCGTTAAGACAAATTGCTTCCTTCACAGCTTCTGAAACTGCCATGTATTCTGCATCTGTAGTAGAAAAGGCTACTGTAGATTGCAATGTAGACTTCCAACTTACTGGGCTTTAGCAAGAGTAAACAAATATCAGTAGTTGATCGACGCTTATCCAAATCACTAGCATAATCGGAATTAGCATATCCAACCACACACTGACCAAGTGTTTCATCTTGTTCAAAAACTAAACCAACATCCACGGTTTGTTGGAGATACTGTAGA